ATAAATACTAATATTATTTAATTTATTTATATAATTAACAAGTAAAACTGTTGATTATAGGAAGCATCTTCAACTTTATTAGGAGTTTTAGATGAAATCAAATCAGGTCCAGAGAAAACCTTAAATGAGTCTAGTGGTGTGTTCAGTTACAATTACCGAGATTCCATTATTTTTGCTATTGGAGGTAAATTTAAAATATTAATTATTTTTTACTGCAATATTAAAAATAATATTTTATGCATAGTTGGAGCAAATGTAAAAGAAGAGAGTGATTTACAATACTTATATGAATCTCATGAAAATTTTTCTACAATACCTACTTATGCAATTTTACCCAGTCTGATGGCTACTATGAGTAGTAGTTTGATAACTGAAGCAATACCCGGTAGAGAGTTTGATTTATCTCAGGTATAATTCATATGTATGCTTATATTTGTGATAAATTATATAACTTATGTGGAACAATTAATAAATTATTGATGTTTTAAATGTCATCAAGTTTGATTCCTAGAACATAGACAAGAGAAAATTAAATCTATGTAAATAATAATGTTTTATTAAAAAAAAAAAGAAAATTTGTTTAGAAATAATGTTTTTATTTTTTATTGTAAGACAAAGAAAAAAAAATATTCAAATTTGTTACTATAATACACAATAATAATAAAAAAAATTGTACTCATGATTTCACTAGATAAATAAAAATGGCATTTCACAGTATAGTTATTTTTTTTTCTAGTAAAAATTTAGTTTCTTATTTACGAATATCATCTTTTTAATTTTTTCTTGTCACTAAGATTGGATTAGGCTTTTTAAATAGTTTTGAGATGAAACTTAATTTAATTTTGTATTACACAATAATTAATTATGGTTCTGATGTGAGACCAATATCACTTATAAATTACTGTTAGTATTTGAATAAAATATTTATTTTTTTTTAATTCAAAATTGCTATTATCAAACCTCCTAAAAATTGTGTGCATTTGTATGTTATACATATTTAGCAATACAATTATTTTAAGTGATATTGAGACATAATTGAATCTATTTATTTATCTAAATAATTGATACATATTTATTTTAGTATTTAGCTAGTAGAGATGTTAAATGTCATGTTTTATTTAAAATTTTAAGTTAGTATCTATTAAATATTTTATTAGACCTTTTTAGTATAATTCCTATTTCAACATTATTCTCTATTATTAAAAACTAAAGGTTATTTTTTTATAGGTTTTACATGGTGAACAATATTTAGAACTACACAAGCCATTACCAACTGAAGCTAAACTTATGACTAAAATTTGTGTTTCTGATGTGTTGGATAAAGGGAAAAATGCTGTTATTGTTGTTGATGGTATGAATTTTGTGTTTTAATTTCAATCATTTTAGATGAGTGGTTATTCAATCATTAAAAAATTTGTTTTCTACTTATTCATTAATCTTTATGTTTGATTTTAAGTCCTGGATTATTTCCTTATTTAATTGTTTTAGGTAAAACATATGATGAATCTGGTGATTTGGTAGCCACATCACAAATATGTACCTTTGTTTTATCGGCTGGAGGATTTGGAGGAAAACGAGTTTCAACCATTATGATTCCATTACTTGATGAACCCAAACGGTCTCCAGATTCTACTGTTAAAGAGAAAACTTCTGTTAATCAAGTAATGATTTTTATTTATGTATTAGATATATTTTTTCATACTAATTTCTTATTATTTTGAATACAAATAAATAATACAATTATTTTGAATTATATTGCATTCAATACATTGTTATTAGGCAGCTGTTTATAGATTATCTGGTGATTTGAATCCTTTACACATAGATCCATCATTTGCACTTGCTGCTGGTTATCAACAACCAATTCTTCATGGTTTGGCAACTCTGGGTATGTCAGTAAGACACATACTCAAACAATTTGCTGATAATGATTCAAAATTATTCAAATCACTTAAGGTATTTGCAAAATAATTTTTAAAAAAAATTGTAGATTTTATAAAATAATATTCACATAGATTACAACGGTTATACATTATATAGTTGAATTAATCATAATATATTTTTTAGCTTTATCTTTTGTTACACTTGTATATGATAAAACATTCATTTATTCATTTAACAGAATACAGAACATTTAATCTAAATTATGATTAATTAAGATTGGTAATTAGGTATTTAAAATATTACTGCATGTTAATTTATGTGCAATAAAAATATAATAATATCAACATATTATATTGAATTCCAAATAAATTAAAGAAAAAAAAAAGTATAAGCCAAATATTGTTAAACCGTGTTGTATATTATAAAATTAATGTACAGAAAAATGAAACTCATGTATAGAAAGCATGAATAAACTGCTCATTAATTTACAAACTACACTGACCTCTAGGTAAGATTCAGTAAACCAGTTATACCAGGTCAAACATTGTGCACATCAATGTGGAGAGAAGGGAACCGCATTCACTTCAAGACTACTGTATCAGAGACAAACGACACAGTTCTATCAGGTAAATTTTTTTTTAAATTAATGTAATTATTTGACTTCATATTTTCAATATTTATTGTTTATTTTTATATGAACATATAATATATATATCTGGTCATCTAAGTGATATTTATTTGGCCTTGACTGTTACATTTAATAATTTAAAACAAATATGCACACATAAAAACTGTATGTATAATAGCATACCTTTAATTATGCCACCAATTCAATTACTTAACATTCTTATTGACTTATACAATTATTTAACATATTGACCTGTCCAATTTATATTCTAATACAGCTATAAACAAGATGACATTATAGTTTTTAAAAATTATCAGCAAATTTTTCCAGATAAAATAATTAAACATAACAATTATGTTTCAACAAGCTTATCTTATATTTTCTGTTATTGTATTTTTATTATTTTTTATTGTGTTTGCTATTATATTATTTGTAGATTTTGTTTTCACTAGGTGAGTTTCCTGTTTTAGATTAAACCTACAATTGTGTATTAAAGCATTATTTTTCCAAGGTCGTTAAAATAAAAAAAATAAATGAATAAATAAATTGTTTTTTGGTAAACAATAAAATAAATAAATGATACTTTTTAGGCGCTTACATGGAATTACACGAAATTAGATTGCCAGCCAAGCCACATGTGGTATTGTGCTCTGGAAAAGTCGAAGAGCTGCCAAGTGATGCAGTATTCCATGGTATGAAAGAACGCATTGAATCTAATCCAAGTTTATTAAAATCTATTAATGGAGTCTTTGTGTACCACATTACAAAAAGTGGTCAAGTTACTAGTACATGGAGTAAGTGTTATTTTATTGAAAATACATTAATTATAAAGATATTTGTACAGTTGTACCGGTATTCTTGTCGTATGCGGTCTACCGCACACTTGTCATCTACCACACACGTTCCTATATGTCATATGCGGTCTACCACACGTCCACACACTTTTTATCTACTAATAATAATTTTCAACGATTCGACGACAATGACATTTAAGTTTTATCTTAACAATGTGATTTCTATATCAATAATAAAATACCTGCTATAATAAAACTTGGGACCTGCCAAAATCGTGACTGTAGTCGTAAACGTATAAGATATCAGTTCAGTTTGTGCTGTAATACCTATGTGATTCGTTATTCTTCAGTTTATTTACTGCACTTTTTAACATTATGTTAGCCAAATATTACGTAGGTATAAAAAGTATGTTATAGACCGCATATGATGAGTGGCGTAACTGAGGGCCCGCAGACCCCGCGCTGCGGGGGAGAACATAGTAATTTGGGGCTTTTGGTTATAGGGTTATATTTGGTATAACAATATTTTTGGGGCCCATTTTTTATTTTTGAGGGGAAGCCCAAATTTTTTTGCTACGCCACTGATATGACGTATAAAAACATGTATGGTAGATGGCAAGTGTACGGTAGACTGCATACAACAAGAATACCATTGTACCAATACTAAAATGTCTAAAATTAATTATTAGCTGCTGATTTGAAGACTGGAAAAATTTATCGAGGAGAACCTGAAAAAGGTATTAAAGCAGATACAACATTGACTATTGATGATTCAGATATGATTGATTTAGTAAGTGTCTTAAATATTATATTCTTATTATGCATCCATTATATACATGAAAAAACTTTATTTAGGCTCTTGGAAAGCTAAATCCTCAAATGGCATTTATGAAAGGTAAATTGAAAATCAAAGGAAACGTCATGTTAGCTCAAAAATTAAAAGCGTTAAATACAGAGTCTAAGTTGTAAAAGTTATTTATATGTTTTTGGAATTCAAAAAATATGATTTAAGGTAAGGTTTATGGTGTAAACGGGTAGGGATTTCGTTTTGGATCATAATTAATTATCAAAATATATAATGTTGTTGAACATTTTTTATATCTTTTATTAATTATTTGTGTGTTTAATGATCATTTATGTGTGATTAGTTACTTATTATTGTTTTTATCTTTTTTTTTTTTACCAAGAAATATTTTTAATAAATAAATATAGTTGTATTTGTTATTATTCTCATTGACCACCTTTGTTTACTTATTATTTAGTTATTAAACTGATCAAATTACAAACCATTCACACATTCCTTTAAACTTTAATATGTGGTTGCACTAAAAAACAACTATTTCAAATGTATAACATTTTTAATTTGTTATATTAAATGAAGGAGAATATAAATTAAATAAAAACTCAATTTATATAATAACTCTGAAGTGTTTATTTATGTCCAATAAAATATTAAAATACAATACAATGAGGAAAGATAAACGTGCTGTAGGGCAAGGTGATACCATGGGGAAATGACGTCAACAATAACATAAAATAAAATAATAAGATAAAAATAAACTATAAAACTTTTAAAAATTAGCTTAATAAGCTTTGTTAATTAAAAAAAAACAATTATATCTATATACGCCTAGGTAAATAATAATGAAAAAAAAAATAAACATTTTAATAACATAAGTGGAAACAGCTTTTTGATGATTAAATATTACTTTATTTATATACATATAAGTATTGATTTTGTGATTATTTTGACACCAAAAACATGATCAACCTGAGAACAATATACAAATTTTAAAATTATCCTACAAATACATTTCAATTTATGTTTATATAAATATATATTAATATTATATGATAAATAACATTAAAAATGTAATATGTTTAAATGTGTAGGAAATATTCAAGTTAAGTTAACTCTGATATCTTAAAAATATAAATAATAAAAAAAAATAACATAATATTAATACCTATCTCTTTTATTTTAATACTTATAAAAATTTTAGTTTTATTTGTTTCATACCTCAAGTTGATAGTTTTGGCAGCTAACAGCCGATTACATTCGGCTGAATCTGGTAATGGCAATGTTACAAATTGTGTTTCTGTTTCATTCTCGTTGAATTCAAACTTATAAATTTTCGGATTCACCTTCATATCACCAAATGGTCCTTTAACTACTAGATAATGGACAGACATAGGTGTGGGGATTTTGGTTTTCAGAATCAGCTATTTACAGATGACCAGCATGACGACGACATAATTGAGAGCGTAAAGGAAACAGAGGAATGAAAAAAAAAAAAAAAAAATTAATTAGTATTTTCAGATAGTACAACGAATAACCTGCAAAAATAATCCTGAAATATTAGAAATTAAAAATGATTTATTAAGTAAATTCTTTTAAAAGTATATTAGTCCGAATGCACCTGAAAAACAAAACTCAACCCAAATTATTATACACAGTGCTTCCAAATGTTAGCATAACTTACCAGGATAAGAAAAAAAAAAATAAAAGCAATTTAGTATATTTCTGACTGATAACTTACCAAACTTTACCCTTTATACAAATAAAAATGAGTTTAAGAAAAAAATACAATTACAAGTTTTTAATAAATATGTTTATAATAACCTAGCAAGAATAATTAACAAGAATCCGTAAAGTTTACTTTGAGAACGTCGTAAAAAACAAAAACTGTTTATACAAAAAAATCCTGCGAACTGATCCATATGAGTGTCTTTATTTGATGTTTCAGCTGTTGTTATCTCTTCGATGGTGTTAAGGTATAATGTGTCTAGACGTGGCGGACGTAGAGAAACGGGCAAAAACAAAAAAAGAAACACATTTTATAGATGGCAATATGAATTTTGTCGTGCATGTGCCGATTCAGCGATAGATTGATTTGAGAGTCCATACCATGAAGATGATGCAGTCGTAGTAGTAGTAGTACTAGTACTAAAAGTAGTAGTAGTAGTAGTAGAACGATGTTCTTGAAAACTGTGAACGTTTATTAATATAACAAAAAATATCTTGTCTCCTGTTTCACAATTATAAATGGATTATCCATGTCACATTGATTATAGTTGAATACACATCATCCTTAAACGTTACAGTGATGAATAATTACATCCAATTTGTGGTGTAACCTAACACTGAAAGGACTGACAACACGTACATGGATACTTGTGGTTGTGTTTTACGCATTTGTGTATATTATGGGTTAATTATTGTTTTATTTCTTATATTAAATAGAACTTACCTGTTTTTTTCTATGAAACAATGTTTTTTGAATTAAATTATTTAAAAATATTATAGTGAATACAATACAAAAAATTTAAATATTAATACATTTTTTTTTTATAAATGTCGCACATAAATTACCTGGTATGACATGTGACGATCAACACTCAATGCTGGGTCTCTTTGCATGTTATTGATGCGGGTTTTGACAACCCACTGAAAATTGAAAGCTGAAAATCGGGCAGTCTCATAGTACAATTTGTGTACAAATTCTTCTGTTCTGTATGGTTTTAATTGCAAATCTAAACAATGTGTTTAATTAAATTAGATACTAATTTAATTTAAAAATTAGTTGGCATATTTAGTCAATTGCTTCAGCATAGTTTACTTTATTGATGACTTACCATTAAATGTTATCTTTTCAAAACTCATCAAATCAAATATAGTGTCATATAAAAGTTTCTCTTCCTGAAACTTTTGGTCCATAGCATCAAGTGCGGACATAACATCTTTTCCAGTAGCTGATGGGTGAGGACACACTTTTTCGTGTTCAGAAGCTTCATGACTGGGTCCACGCCAAGGACAGCCAATTTTACTGTATCCACATTTTACTGGTCTAAAAAACGAATGTAAACAATTTTTAAATATTAATTATAAATTATTTTTCATGAATATCTAAGTATAAAAAATAAATTAAATTTTGCTTACCGTTCTGCACAAAGCTGTTGTTCATGATGTTGTAATGTGTTACGTGGGAATTCTTTGGCGCAAAATTGACACTCCGATGGAAGTTCACTAACTGCTTTCTCAACAGCCAAGTTACGTGTAGCTGTATTTTTAGCTATGTCCACACGACAATTTGGACATGTGGCCATTTCATCTCGTAAACGTGCATCAGCCAACAAATGAGCAAAGCATCCAGCACACATTAAATGCCCATTTGTACACTGTAAACAAATAAATAGTTTATAAAATCAATATATAAACATTATAGATTAGTAAAAAAGATGATTCACCACATTTTTCTTCAATAATGTAGTTATTCAAAATTTGGTTTTTTAAATTTTTAAATATTTTTAAATTCTTGAGATTTTTTACTATTTAAAAAGTGTTCTGTGAATAAACAAACTTCTGTTTTTCAAATAAAAACCTTCCTTTTCTACTATGAATTATTAAGTGAATCATTTTTTCTGAAAATATTTTATTGTATCAAAATCAAAATGTTTACTAGTAGTTTTTGAGATATTCAATTTTATGTACTACAAAAGATAATAAGTCTATAATAATTTTGAAAGATTTTAGTTTATGGCAAGTTGAAAATTTTTGTAATTTATATTAATCAATCAAAATGTTTATTAAACAAGAAATTTAGTTTATCTAAAAATTATAAACTCTTGATCCAATATTATATCTATTAAATATTTTTAAGGTTTATAATCCTTGGTATAAACATTTCAATACCTAACAAAAGTTATTTATTCAAATTTTGAAATAGATTTATCATAGTTTTGAGAAAAAATATCTACTAAAAAATAGATTCTTATTTGAAAAATAAAAGTTTTTACTACAGAACTTTCCCTTAAAGATTCAAAAATCTCAAGAATATGAAATTATGATCTTTAGTAGGTAGAAACTAAATTTTTAAATTCCAAAAATTTAAATTTAAATAAATTCATTATTAAATTAAAAAATGGGGTTAAATGTATTTGGTGAAATATCCTGTATAATTAAATTTAAAATGAGAAACATTTTTTTTTTTTAAACTTAATTCTTTATTTAGTAATTTGTTATAATCTAGAACAATAAGCTTAATTGATAAAATAATATTATAACAGGAATGACGGAGTGAATAAACCTTTCAATGGAGGTATTTCGTCAGGATAATTGAGAAACATAAAATTGAATTTTTAGTTTGTCAAAATTATAAATTCATAGATCACTACTATACATAACTTATATGTTAAGATACCATAAGTAGAATATATTTTGAGTATCCATAAAATATTTTTTTTTAAGTGTGACATTATGGTAGTCTGGATATTTGAGCAATAAAAATGTTAAAATGTTTTACATTCTTAAGTTAGATGTTTATACCTAATGACTACTATAAAAGTACAAGACTATGAGGGCACGATTCTCAACTTTTTGAGTGTCATTTCTAAAGGAACCATTAATTAAGTTGCAGAACTATAAATAGTTCAATACTTGTATACTTGTATAGTATAGTATAATATGTGTTATATTGTAGTATGGTGGCACAAAAGGATGCTCAGTTCTAAATCATTATTCCTTCTTCTTGAATTCGAATATTTTTAATTACTAGTAAATTTTTTAATACTGTTGAAAGTTAATGCATTGTGAATGATGGTTAGTTGATTATATAAGTTTTATAATTTTAACATTTCTATTATTTTGCTTGAATTGTATTTTTTAAAAGGCATAAATAGAACAGATTGCTTTTTATCTTAAAAGATTAAAGTCATTCAAATGACAATTATCTAATATATTAAACATTTATTATTTAAGTTTCACATTCACGGGGCGTGTTTAGTTCTACAAATGTATAGGTAGTAAGAATATTCATTGTTCACCTAACTTTGGATACTTTTTTAAAGAAAGTGCAGAATCAGCAGTTGGATGTATTATTTGAAATCTTAGTTACAACCAGAGTTCAAGGATACAATAATTATTAGTGCGAAACTGTAAAAGTATTCTTGGAAAATATATATTAAAAATAACGTTTGAAAAATCTTTAAAATCCTATAATATATGATAAATTCTGGTAAAATAACAAATATCAATAATATCATTAAAAACGAATTAGTAAGCGACGTCTGACACATAATTATGTTAGTAAAAAATACCATTAATTCAGTTATTAATGATTAATTTAATGCGCCTATTTTAATATTGTATGCTATAAAAAAAAAAAAAAAAAAAAAACAAAAATAATGATAGGTAACAAATAATTTTACTAAAATTTTAAGTAGAATAAATAATTATGATAATACGGTCCCTATATATAATATTATAATAATGAACAGATTTAAATATATATTTTTATAATTAGACCAACCTAATAATTTGTGCCGATTTTTTTTTGTATATAAGCATTAAAATCAAAAAATTAATTATTAATTTTACGTTTTTTAGTAATTTTTTTATTAGGGATTTTTCTTATCAAGTCTTTTTGCCAACTAACTATTACATAGGTACCATCATACACGGCATCACATCAAGTGGAAGAGTGAGCATGTTTCCAAATTGTTTTTTAGAAGGCTTTGACGTTTTAAGAGTATTACACGCTTATATGCTTTTACTGTACAGAATAGTTGTATTTTGTACAAATAAATAAATATTTATAAATTGACAATTTCCAACACTAACATAATCGTGTCTGTCAAACAATACACACGAATACAAGACATGAAACAGATAAGGAAAGGAAAATCCTAGCCAGACCAGAAATGTATATTTATTACAATTCCGCATAGTTAGTAAAGATTACATGCTTTCGGACTTTGTACCACGAACGTTGGACCGCGATTTATCTCGGGAATATACACTAAATTATTGATGACACGTCGTAGCGAAAAGAGGCTAAAAGGCCATTTGGATTGTGAAATGCTAAAAATGTCGTCATTGTGACGCGCGATAATACAGAAACTCAAGGACAAAATCGAAATGACGAAAATATTATATTATTATTTATTTTATTGCAACGTTCGGAGAGAAGTGATAAATGAAATTCGCGCGCGCATAATTTAATGTCGTTGACCCAGGGACTACAGCCGCCGCGGCGGCACGTCGGTCAGCTGGTACGAACGACGACAGCAACAACAACAACAATAATAATAATAATAATAATAATAATAATAATAATAATAGTTATAATAATAATATCAACCAGACGAGTAGACGACAAGGTTTTTTAAAAATAGAACGTAGAACAGATGATTGGACTGAAGTAGAGACGGCATGTAAAGCTTTCTAAATCGCTGATTCTCACCTGATAGATGGACGACCTGGGCAAGTCCAAGCACACGGCGCAGCACAGTATGCCTCCAAGCCTTTGCTCCAGTTTTTCCGAAGTGGCGTGCTGCTTGTCACCGCCACCGCCACCTCGACCAAACACATCGCCACCACTACCGGAAAGCTTGGCTTTTTTCGGGTTAGGTTCGCCGTCGTCTTTAGTGATCGACACGTTTTGCTGTTGTTGCTGCTGCTGCTGCTGTCCATCCATGGCTGCCGTTATGTTGTCTGATTGACCACCCGTCTCTACAGTGGCTGTCTGTGCCGAACCTTCACCGTCGGACATGGTCCGACTATTTTCCGGAAAACGGCGCGGATGCGAAGAATTGCGTTTGAGTAGACCCAAAGGTTACTTTTCAGAATTATGTCTGCTCGGTACGGTTACTTTGGGAGCACCGCTGGTATTGAACAAACGCGATACTCGTGCACGATAGCAAAAGCTAACTCAAAAACGATAAAAACAAATTTGACGGCAGTCAACTGTAAGAAAAAAAAAGTTATATATTGTAATTGTAATAATACGTTCGGCTGGTGCGCTTCGAGTCAAAGTGGTACGGGGAAAAATAAAAACGATATAAAAAAAAAAAAAAAACCAACAACTGCGCCGTAATAATAAATACAACTTGTCCAGCGGACGGGCGGGCGGGCGGCTGAGTCGCGTCAGCTGTTCGATCGGGCTGCGCGCTTCAAGGACGGCATAGACGCGCACGCGCATTGACTTGCACTATAGCCTGCTGTCGACGATGCGGCAGGGCGGGCGGCGGTGTACTTCCCTTGGGCGGTGACGGCGGCATGCGTCCGGTGACGTGTACACGTCGCTAACGCCGCGCCACCGCGAATCCCAATGCGGGACTATTGCGGGTATTGATTATTTGATTATCGCGGACGACTCGCGCGTGCTCGTCACTACACGGCCGCGGTGCACCATAGTTCCATAGAGTAATAATATTACTCTACGCGATGCACGAAACGTCGCGGGGACCCCAAGGACGGTATATTATTATTTTTTTTCTTAGTAGTATTCGCAACTCGTGATGTTGCGGGAAGTCTTCCTCCTCCTAGTCCTCCTACTCCCCGAACGTCGTGCAAACGCTTTGTAGGCACGCGATTTGCGTTACAATAACAACGGACAATAATTATTGTTTTCCTTTAACCTATGGGCACATCTACTGTATAAATGTTTTTGGACTATTTGGTTTGTGTGAATTAATATTTGACATAGTGTTGGGACGTTGGCAGTAGGTATAACAGATGGTTATGTGAGCTGAGTCGGAGGTCAGTCTTTGGGGCTTTGATGTATTATTTTTTCTCGGTGAGAAATTCTCGTCATAATTCATATACTTAACTAAATATTTTGATAATCACAATTCACAATTTTAATCTTAAAAAAATCCCAACAACTAAAGATTTTTATTAGACTGGGCCATTTTTCTTTATCAATTCAGATACGTAGTTATAAATTGTGACTTGAGAGAAGAGGAGGGAGTAAAAAATTCTTGATATTATTTATTGTATTTGTATTAAGTGTCTATGATTTTTATTTAGAAATAAAAGTAATGATGTAAAATGTAATGTGTATACTGTATACATGTGAGTAGGTACTTGCAGTTCAATATTTTTTTCTATTAAAAGTCGAAATTTAAATTTCTTCGATTCAACGAATTACTTACGTGCTGTACTATATAGCTGTTATATATTTGTATTTCAAAATCACTAAAATTTAAACAACAAAATATACTTTTTTTTTAAAAAAGCGATATAATTAATACAATTTAGTATTATATAAATCAAGAGAATATTTTTAAAAAATTAAACGTCGATCATATGGAATCATTTTTTAAAAATTTTCGATTACTTCATCGACGTCGATATTTTTTGCCATGATGGTTCGTAAATCTCAAATCTCAATTAATGAAAGTATCAAATTGCCTATAAATAGATAGTAGACATTCCTGTGTCTTAGTAGTATGAAACGTTGTTTTAACAAGATATCTATAGTACTTGCACCATTATAATCGAGAGCATTTGAAATAAGCGAAAATAATTATTACAAAATATAAATAAAACACTATAATATTATTTGTGCGTTCCACAATTTATTACATTTTCAAAAAATAAAAACAATGTTCAGAATATTATGGTTATAATGAATTAACTATTCTCTAATAGTTAATTAAATAATAAATATGAATTACTACAATACTTAGACTACCTACATCAATATCCTAAGTTTGTAAAAATTTCCGGTGAGAATAATAAAATACAGAGTACTATATCAAATTTTACATCAAATTTTTATTTTTTAAAACTAATTTTAAAAGTTATTAGTTATTACTATCTATGATATCTATATATCCTTAATAACACGGTAATCATTTAAAGATATTTTCATTTAAGTAACCTAATACCATTGATTATAATTTATAAATAGTATATATTATACTATTTATAATTAATGCTAATACTTAAATATTTAAGTTTTATTCTTATTTGAATAAAATTATTTGGTACACTTAATACGTATGCAAAACAACACTTTTACGTAAATAATAGTAAAAATTCTAAAATTTAAAATTTAAATAAATTCATTCTATAAGCCATTTTAAGAAATAATTGTGGCGATCACTAATCATGCTTAGTGAATTACTGATTTATGGTATTAATATAATTTTTATTTTGACATTGAAATATTTTAATCACTGTTTTATTCGATCTTTAAATATTAAATTTAAAAGATAAACTATATACTTTAATCAATTTTTGGTTTAAATAGTTTTGAATATTTAAAATATTGATTCAAAGTCTAATTTTTAAATGTACCAACAAACTAACAAACCGTAAATAAATAATATAATATATTGTTTTTAAATAATATGTTTAATAGTAGTATATTAAAGTAGGTACATAATACACCAAGGTACAACTAAAAATCAATACTTAAAAAAAAAAAAAAAAAATTATAGTGTAAAGTACAAACAACAACGAGTGCTTGTAAAATTGAGATTATAATTTATAACATGTACTCGTATAATGTAAATAATAATAATAATATATGCATAACATTACAAGGATTTATTTACATATTTACCAGTTATCACATTTAATGGCTGTACTCCGTAAGTGGTATAGGTAGCAAAAATTAATGCATAACTGCATTTCTAAAAAAAAAAATCGTACTTTTTTTAATGGCTAATTTAATTTCGATCAAACCAAAAAAATTTAAAAATCGTTTTAAGTTAAGCATATGCATAAAAAAAAGATTTAAAAATTAAAGTTGTATAAAAAAGATAAAATATTATAAATTCGTCATTAGATATTTGATCAGTATCTACTAGTTGTATAACAGTTAATAAATACGCACTTAAAAAAAAATATTGATAAGTTAATTATATATTCAAGTACTTTAAATGTGTAAGTACATAAAAATATAAATATATTATATTAACAATAATAATATAATATAGGTTAAGTTACATATTGTTTAAGATCTATATTTTGTTTAACGATGGTTTCTTGATTTTATACTAATTCAATAAATTTTTGTATAATTATGTGAAACTAACTTCACAAAACCATACTTATAAATTTGATTACTAATTATAATATTTCAGCGTACGTATTTACATTCAATTATAGAGTCTATTTAAAATTTTAATAAATTGGTGTTTGACGAAGGCGTATATAGGATTTTATTGAAAGAAAAATATGAAATAATTGTTAAGTACCTACTTGTATAAATGTATTGAAATAAGCACAAAATTATTAATAGTTCTCCATAAATATGTATAATACTCTTAATGCTGATATCCTAGCCAAGAATAGTCTTTTATCATAAAATAAAATAAACTTTGGTTGTTACAGCCTTTTAACTTCAGTTATTTCATGTAAGGTATTTTATAATAATAAACAATATTGATCATAATAATATATTACATAATATTGATTTTTTATCATAGCTCACACCCCACGTCCTTACAGGATGATAAAGTTATAAGTAACAATACTTTAATGCTTATATCTGGTTTATCGAAAAAAGGCAAATGATGAAATCTATATCACAAATACGCCACTATTGATTATATCGAATACATATTTATGACATAGGTTTTAACTTAAAAATATTATTGTTTTTTTTTTTTTTAAATCGAGTACAAGTATTAGTTGTTATTATTTATTTTATTAATATCTGTAGAACTGTAGCACTGATCAAATGTGAAATAATTAATGATGAATAATGTATTAGATATCATTTTTATAGTTTATAATTTTTATGTACCCAACTTAATTTTTTTAATAATTTTTCAATAATATACTAGTTATCCTAGGATTAAATTTCAATAATTTTATTTAATTATTTTACTAAACATTTCTATAAGAATAATAATATTGTTTTGACAAATAATTAAGTCTCAAGTTGATCACTTAATTGACTGATGGAAACTATTTTAAAATTATTTTTCGGTTTAATGACAAAAATTATTAACAAATACTGAAATACGTTTATTATATTTTCATTTCTTTTTATAACGTTTAACATTTATCACTAATTGATATTTTTTTCGGCTACTGATTCCAATTTGTAATATTGAATTTGTTTTTACCTCACATAAAGGTATGTTGTTGTTTGTTTACTGTTAAGGCATATTAAGTGCTGGATATCGTGATATGCACTAGGTATTAAAAAAATTAGGTTATTATAAAACTAATGGTCTACCAAAGAGGGGTATAAAACTGTTCGCATGAAAATAATACAAAAATGTTTCTCCCATCTTAAGTAAAATAAAGTATGCCAAAAAAGTATGTAAAAAAATAAGTATAATAATATTATAATTTAGGCTCTCTAAAAACAACAATGATAAAAAGTATTGTTAGATTTTTAACAATATAAATTGTATGCTTTTTAGATTACTCTTAAAAACTGTATTTATATAGATATATAATACAGGCATATAGCTACAGAGATAATTAGCGATAAAAATATTTAATGATTAATTAGTGGTTATACAAAATAAAAGGTATAGGACAAACCTAACTATTACATACCTAAACATACCTATGTTTTACTTCAATGCAAATATTATATTTGGGATGCCTACAATAATAATTTTGTCTATAATCTCATAATACACTAATACCAACTGTCATTTTTTATTTTAAAATAAAAGCACGATATTTTTTTTTATTATTATGATAAATTTGTAAAACACTAGGTTATTGTATAGACTTATTTTTGGATAGTTATACTTCCATTGTATGTATAAATCAAGTAGGTACTTATACGAGCTACAAATATTTTACCTGATATAAGGATCTAAACCGGGTAAATTTACGGCTGCATCCGAGTTCCGTCCCATATATAAAAATTGAAATTAAAGGTATACTAGTTCCGTCCCAGCTTTTTTTAATGAACATACTAATTCCGTCCCAGGTTTTTCTTAATGGATAATATACTAATTCTGTCTTGCATCAAGTCTTTTAGAAATAAAGATGATATTTATTTCAGTTATTGCACCAAATAATCGAATTTAACAATATCCTATTATATAGAAATAAAGATAATATTATTTTCAGTTATCGCACTAAATAATTGAATTTAACAATATCATATCACATAGAAATAAAGATAATATATAATAAGATTTTAGTTAACGAAACAAAATAAACTTTTCAGTCGTTATTTGTGCGTTTACGTGTCATTTAATATAACTATTAAATATGGATACTATGTACAGTGAAAAAGGTAAAATGTTAATTATTAAAAATGAATTTAAATTTTGTTTTCATAAAGAATTGAATAATAATATTGAACGCTGGAAGTGTATTCAAAAACAATGTAAAGCATATATAAAAATTGGTAAGATAACTAAATTTATAATAATTAAGTTTTTATAATAAGGCATATAGGTACTTAAAATAATTTTTTACATTAGGAAAAAATAAAGGAATTGTCTTTGAAAATTTAAATCACAGCCATGATAGAACTGATGAAACTAATTTAAATCGTCAAAAGCTTAATAATAAATTAAAAAGAAAAGCTGTTGATGATATTTGTGAAAAACCAGCAAAACTTATTCATAAAGAACTTTCTAATCATGATGTTAATACAATTACCTCTAATGATATAGACTTAATTAGAAAAAATATTCACCGTGCAAGGTCTTCCATATTATCAATGTTACCCACATCCATTGAAGACGTTCATGAATTATTGAAAAAAACGACGATATATACAAATAATGACGAAAATTTTTTAATTATAAATGATCCAATTACACACATTATTATGTTTACTTGCAATACAAACTTATCTCATTTAAGTAAAATTAGTACTATTTATGTTGATGGAACCTTTAAATGTTGCCCAAAACAATTCACACAATTTTTTACTATTCATGGATTAAAAGATTCAAATAATTATATTCCATTAGTATTTTTTTTACTGCCAGACAAAACTAAAAACACGTATGAACATGCTTTTAAATTTTTAAGAACAGAATTTGATAATCTCCAGTTAAAATTTACACCAAAAACTATTTATGCAGATTTTGAAAAGGCTATACATAATGCCGTATATGCAGTTTGGCCAGAAATAGACTTAAGAGGATGTCGATTTCACTTAGGTCAATCATGGTTGCGTAAAATTCAAGATCTAAAATTGTCCACTTTTTATAGGAATAAAAATTCTGAGATTGGTAGATTTTTAAAGTATATATTTGGATTGCCATTTTTAACACCAGATGAAGTAGGTGATTTTTTTGCGTCCGAAATGATGGGAATCAAACCAGTTGATAGAAAAATAGACTTATTTCTAGATTACTTGGTCGATAATTATATTTCACCTGAATCTACTTTTCCACCTCGTATCTGGGCTGAATTTTCGCATAGTACTTTCCGTACCACAAATAACTGTGAATCATTTCATTCTAAATTCAATGGAATGTTTTATCATGCCCACCCAAATATTTATCAATTTATAGAAGCTTTAAAATATATACAACAAGATTCCTATATCAAATTAAGAAGTACCATAAAACGAAGGAACCCTATATTAGCTAAAGAAGATTTTATTAAAGAAAAAATGTATAAATATAGTTCAGGTCAAATATCACGATTGGAATTTGTAAAAGAAATATCCTTTAAATTCAATCCAATTTCAAATTTTTAAAAATGTATTATATTTTTATTTTGACTATTTAAAAATAGTATATTTATTTTTATATTACAATATGCCTGTTTGACTAACTAACTGTTTAATATTTATTGATTTTTATTATTTATATTATTACGATTAATTATAATTAAATTATGAAGATGTACTCTAATATTATGAATACCTATATTTTTTTGTAAATATTTTATAACAACAATATTATACATATTATATTTTATTATTATTTTAATTCTTCTTTTTTTTTTAACCGGGACGGAATTGGTATGTGTCTTTTTTTTAACCGGGACGGAATTGGTATGTGTCATTTTTTTAACCGGGACGGAATTGGTATAAAAAAAGGTTCTCGGGACGGAACTCAGATGCAGCCAAATTTACTGTGTAAGATATTATAGATAGTTATAGATTTTTTGGTAAACACATATTTTCATTCAAAATAGCAGGTAATTTAAACCTGATAAAAATGTGTATGATTTAGATTAGGTCGTCGGTTGACAACCTTTTGCAACGGAAGAGCTAATTTTTACAATATATAAAGTTTTCCAGATTTTTAAGAGCCACTAAAAACGTTTGTGTTAATATATTGTATTATTTATATTAGCTTATAATATAATGCTTATACATAAATTTGATTTTCGATTTAAAATAAACGGCTTTAAACACCAAATAACATTATTATATTATAAAAATATTTTCAGCACAAAATATATTTAAGCATTTTATAGTAATAAAATACTACAGTTATTAAATAATAAATAGTTATATCAGTGAGAGCATTGGCTTTAAATGTCTCTTAAAAGTTTGGTTAAATCCTTAAATCTAGCTCATAACTTGTTGTTTTAAGTTTCAAGCACGATTCTAGATTTTTATTTGTAAGTTAGCTTCTTACTTTATTTTTTATTGTACTTGTGCAAGAGAACGCTGGTCACATGAATATGTTGACCTAAAAATTGTCATCACTCTAAATGCCAACTTCTTTACCTCACGTCCTCACTTTAGCCTTCTGTAAGACTATTCCATGCGTTGAATATAAATGCCTCTAATCAAATTTATTTTAGAGCTGTCCACTTGTTCTGCGTGACGTGCATGCATTTCTGGACCTCTAATTCTTCCAACTTGCTCCTAAGTTCTGTGAACTTGCCATTCCACAAGTATTTGCTTTTTAAATCCAGCAATTGCGTTAAAAATTATCCAGCATAAATTCCAAATGGTTCAATGTTGGTCTCATTTGTGTTTGTGTTAAGAAAATTTACTATTAACGCGAAAGTAGTACTTTTATTTGTTTTGAATTTGCTCGAATCTCTTGGAGAATTTATCCTTCATTTTTTTTTTTCTAGCTATTATGCAAAAGTAATTTATGTCAATACTCAATAGTTACATTGGCTTCATTGCAATATTGATTCAGATTTTTGAGATAAATTAATTTACCGCTCTCAATGTCTTTAGCAAAAATAAATATTTTTTTTTTCAAAACGAATCATATCTTCCAGTAAGACATAGGCTGGGGTTTCCTATCCTTGCAGTTTTATATTTAGCTCATTTAGTTTCATTGTGATTATCTACCATGAAGTTTAATTTTAGCAGCCAATTGTTTTCTTCCATTTCCGGATGATCAACGCCTTTTTCATTGAGGAATGTTTTTATTTCTCTCAAGTTCAAAGCAAAACGTTTCAATACATTATCTCTGGAATGTACTTTAATAAACATTTTACTACGAAAGTCTATACGAGTACTATCAAGTCATTGTTGTATTATTTCATATTTCCAGAAGTAACAAAAATAATTAACTTTTGCATGAGGAACTTTTATTTTTGACTCATATTGGTTCTTATATGACTTAACAAGTACTTTGACAGAATTTTAGAAACAATAATATACAATTATTCCAAAATTGATCAATTAATAGTAACCATTAAAAAAATATTCTTAAAAGCGCCAAGTCGTGTTTTAAAATTTAAAAAAATGTATTCAGATCTTAATTTACCTCCTGAACATATTATAACAAGATGAGGTACGTGGCTTGACGCTTGAAGTTGTTCAATAATATTATGATCATTTTGACAAAATAAAAAATGTTATTTCAAACTTCAATACTTAATCGGTCGTAGTTTCGAAAAAGCAAATTCACTGATACAAAATATCAATTAAAAAAGCAACTTGATATACGAATACATTCAGTAAATTTTTGTTTTTTGATTCAAACTATTAAACAATTGAAAACAAAAAACATATCTCTGATAGAAAGTATTAGAATTGTAGAAAAATCTGTAGATAAACTAGCAGAAACTCAAAGACAAATGGAAGAAATAGTCAAAAAAAATTTTCCAACATAATTGAAAAGAAATACTGGATTTTAAACTATTAAAATCATCAGAGATATTTTAATAAAAAAAAATCAACAAGAATTTCTGGACATGGAATTTATTCCTTCTGATAGAGTAAATATGAATTATGCCCATATTACATCTATTGACACGGAACGTTCTTTTAGTCAATACAAGAATATTCTCAAACCAAACTGTCAATTTTTTTGGTTGCAAACTTTTAATAATATGTTGTTTCTCATTGCTCTGTTTCAGAATTATATTCATACTTATATACATCTACATCATTTGTATTTTTTTTATTTAATATTTATATTTATAAACTATATTTTTTTTTGTAATTTTCAATACTATATATATTTGGTAGTTACATATTATGGATCTTTTATTCCATATTTAAAAAAAAAAAATGGTACGTACCTACCAATACATTGATATTTTTATTACAATAAAATTCGTCTCCTATAGTTCAAATAGTACCAAGCTATATTTATGTCCTGTGTATTCTATATATATATATATATATGTCTTATCTGCATGTTTAGCTAACACGACATTTCGTGTTTATTTTATAGATATATCTAAACAAAAATATTATGTTTATACTGATCTAATATTATTATATAGGTACGAAAAACAGTACTTAAATGGATTTTTTCAATAGTTTACAATCGTTATTATTTACTTGGGTAATTAATATACTAGAAAGTTTGGGAAATGAAAATTGACCAGCATTTCATCTTCATAAATTAAACATTTGTACATATAAATCATAAGACGAACGTTAATTAATAAAACTATTATATTTACAGAATTATATAACTCATCAGACCGTATCTATAGTTTAGTATTCTAGTCTATACTAATGGGAGTTTCACAGACACTAACTATACATAATATTAAATTGGTATAGGAAGTTATTTATCCATTCAAATCCTGACCATCTGCATTTTATTTGGACCGAAACGAAAATATAATTAATACGATCTGCTGATTTTTGATCAATTTTTTAATCGAGAAACCGAGCTATTACCTATATTGGACAAAATTGCAATTACTTATTAAGTAAATAATACGGTACATACGCTACGAAATATTTAATAAAAAGAAAGTTCACGCGTGTATAATAATTTTGATTTTTAAATATTTTTATTATATTATTATTGTTAAATATGGTAACGTTAATAAAGTAATTTTCGATGTTATAAAAAAAAATAATTAGCAAAGCTCTGCTTTTGTATAATAAATACGAGTATGCTCCTTTCAATGAAATTTTAAAGAGGGGCTGCTTAAATTACAACAAATATTCATAAGTGAATAGTGATTAATGATCATATAATATTCCATTTTCATGAAAATGTCCACATAATACGGTCATCATAGTAAAAATGTTAAATTTGAATTTAATAATAAATCATTAGGCACTATGATAAATGATTCTGAATAAAGACAATAAATCAGTTTTTATTTCTAAGAATTTTTTATTATATATATTATTTTATAATAGAAACATTAGTCATTTATTTTCTTATTATTAATAATTAATAGGGTTGATTGAATCAATTTTATCTAAAAACAAAATGGCATCAATAATATTCTAGGTATAATAATTAACATAATATTATATTACTATATATTAATAACTTATTGCTTATTGTATAGTTAGGTAGTACCGACCTACTGTTAATTAGTGTGAATAGATTTATAATAGAAATAGCTCAAAATTAATACAAGTATTTAAAAAATGCCATTGTGTAGAGTAAATAGAAATAATATTCATAAATACCTATAGTGGTAATAAGTTTCAACTGTTTCAAGTTCCTACTATCAATAATATTTTTAGAATTGTAACAAAACTTATAAGAAATAAGTATGATTTTATAGTAGATACCTATTATGTATATTAAATTGGGTTTATGAGATATTATTATGTTCTTTGTATTTTTTTAAATTAAAATGAATTACCTATCATTATACATTTAATGAATTAATAGTAGCCCCTTAAACATTATTAAATGGCCTGTGATTGGTCCATTCAATTTTTTTGAATAATTAAATTAACCAATTTTTTATGCAACCTGGCTAATATTGGACTGTCATCGTATTCCGATTATAAATATGTGATCCGCGGTTAGAATTTTCTTATTATTCATAAAATTTAACAATCTTGTTTAGGTAATACAATTTTACTAGACACAAGTTATTACTAACCGGCTTTCAACTCTCAAGTATGTCATGAAATATAAAAATAATAATAATAATGAAAAAAACTCAACAATAACCAATACATTCATTGCTCCGTTCTGTTCGAAATCTAAAATTGGGGTGAACATGCTTGGTGAATTACTTTGTATAATATGGATAATCTAGATAAATTTATGGTATATAGGTTCATGTAAAGGCATATTTAAAGAGGAACACAAAGATTAGACCACAATGAGTTATGTTAGTTGTATTTATGTATTACTAGTTAATTATTGTTATTTAATTGAAAAAATCAAATTTCTTACTAGCAAAAATTTAATATTATATGATTACATTTCATAATGTTATTTGTTAATACTTAATGGATGAATGAGATAAGAAATACGGTAAGAATTATAAAATGCAATATATACTACACAATTTATATATTATAATACAATATCGTTATTATGTATATTTAATATAAAGTGTTTACGAGTTGAATATCAATAAATATTTAACATATAACTAAAGTCAAAACTTTTTGACAGGAAGCATCAATAACTCGAAAAGAAAATATTGGTGGGGGAAGGTGTTATTATAGTGGTGACTCAAACAATTTTTGTTTATAGGACAATAAAATCTACCTACCCCTGAAATATTGTTAATGAAATGAATTCACTATTATAAGTTATTCAGTGAAAACTAACAACTACTTAGTAAGGCGCAACCACTCATAAGCCAATTTTTTGTTTAGGACATTTGTCTCAAAATTCTTGGTTGTGCCACCTCTAGTTCATAATATTTTATATTCTTGTTTTTACTTGTTATCTCAGAATAGTATACCTTTGTATTATTATTTAATAATAATTGAATTTATTACTTGATATTAATTCTAAAATTATGCTTTAAGAATAAGAGGCTCTCAAACCAGAAGACCAACCTACTGTGAAAAAGTTTTTAATTGTCCAAATAATTATTCCTAGAAAGTTATTAATACTTAACATCTATATTTAATTAAATAAAAACACCATTAAAAATTACTGTAACAAAATAAAATAATATATATTTAGGTATTATAAATACACCGGACAATAATAAATGATTGAATAATAAAACAATTATTATTATAAAAACCAACTGATATTACAATTATCAACACAGCTTTAAGTTTTACAATATAATGTACCATAGGCAATGTCATCCACAATATTAATTAAATAAAAACTACGCGGATTTAAAATTGTTTAAAAAAATACAATACATCTCACTCGTTTTTACACCCACTATTTTTATTTACATAGAAAAATATGCATGACATAAAAAGTGGGCATTTCAAAATCGGAACGTCTATAAATAAAATCTAAGTTATATTTTTATGTATAAAAAAGGTATATTATATTCAGTGCATTTAACAATAATAAAGTTTTCATTTTTTTATTTTAAACATGTTGAGCTCAATATTGTGAATTAAAGAGTAAACCTTACATAATAATTCTATACTTTGAAAATCATTGGTAATAATAATTGCTAATGATACATATTATGGGATTAGCTATTTATTATGTATTTATCAAAATTACTAGACATTTTAAATGGCCTGTAAAAATACAAAATATTTTAACTATTGTTGAAAATTTTATATTTTTTCTCTCATCTCTATACACATTTTGTATTTGTAATTAAATAACTTTACTACTATTATACCCAATAATGGTAGTTAATAATTATATATTATAATTATTGTTAAAGTTCAAATTAATATTTTCAAGCTCTCTTTTTCTTAATTTATTTACATTTTAAATAAGAAGAATAATATATGACGCTTGAATATAATATTACTGGAAATTGGAAACAACCGTAAAAAAATATAACTTTGTTATTGTTAATTATTTGATAATTGATTAGAAGAGTACTTTAATTTTGCTACGATAGAAACGGATTAGGTGACGGTACAAGTGGTGGTGGCAAAGTTGAATTAGTTGGACCACTAAATGCAGATGAAGTCGTTGGTTGATTGGCAAATGGAGGTTGTGGTGTTAAACCAAATGGATTTGCCATACCTAAAATAATTTTTAAAATAACTTAAGAATAATATAGTAGATATAACCATACATTATACATATTCTTTCATATCTAAATTTAAATAATTATAAATAGTTCAGCTGTGTCATTATTAACTTAAAATACATAAAACTGTTTAAGACAAAAAATTATCTATTATAATAAATTTAAAGTAAAATATGTTTGAATTATTAATTAAAATATAGAGATGTTAATAACTTAATTTGTTTGATCAAAATTAGAGGTGAAAAAGTTATAAACAATTATCTGATTATGTAATGATGTAATATAACATAGCCTTTAAGTTATTAATAAAAAAAAAAAATAAATACATACCAGGTGGTCGTATTTGTGCAACTGGTGTTGGATTAATAGGAGCTGTTACTAGGTTATCCAAATTTACTAAAGCAGAATTTTCTCCCAAGAAACTGTGTGGTGTCTTTTTACCTGACGTGGAACCTTGTGAAGTTCCTAGTAGTTCATTATTTAAATGGGACAGGTCAAATGGATCAGGAGTAGGTTCTAAATAAATAAAATTAAAATTGAAACAATATAGGCATTTATAAAAAAATTCTGATTCTTTATATACTTGTTTGCAATGATCGATTTCCTAAAAGAGCAAATTCATCAAATTCTTGATTTGGTTTGCTTAAAGGTTGAGCAGTTGTTGCAGGGGTCCAAGGGTCTGGTGGAGCCATTGCTGCAGCTGATGAATTTTGTGACAACCAAGGATGTACACCTTGAATTAATTTTTTTGAATTATATAATTCTATGTATCATGATATGTTTATTTTTTACTTACCATTGTTTGTTGCATTAGGCAATACATGAGCAGAAGTAATGGCATTTTGTTTTTGTGTAACAGGTGACCAAGGGTCAACAGCTCGGCTAGGCGTTCCACTATTTGAATCTCCATTAGACCAATTTAAAGGCTGAAATTAAATGTTTAAATTTGTATAATGTTTAATTAATGATAACCAATATATAGATGCTAAAATTGTTTTTTATTACCTATACATTTAATTAGATTAATTAAATATTATTTGAATAGCTTTTGTTAATTTTATAAAATAACCATAGTTCAAGAACAATTTATAAATTTATATTTTTATTCTTAATAATGAGTTTTATTTTTATACTATATTACCTGTGGTTGAGTTTTTATAGGCATACCCCATGGATCTGCTGTTGTTGCTGCCGTTGCACCATTTTGATCTCCATCATTGTCTAGATCAATTCCCAATAGGTCCAACATATTACTACTCTTGCCACTACTACTATTGGCTCCAGATTCTGAACCACTACTTAAATAATGTTTGTTATATAACCCAAATAAGTATATTTACTTTTTTTATAACTTATAATAAATTTGAACTTACTTGAATTCATTTTCACTTTGAGACAATGCTAGTTTTAATCTTACATCATCACTACGTCTTTTTTGTTCTTCTTGTTCTGCTTCTTCTCTAGACATAGCCAAAGCTAGTTGTAATTGTAATTCTTCTTCACCAACAGTCTGTGGGCGCGCACTTTCTAGTTCAGCTGAAATAGATAAAACAAATATTTAATGCTTAAATAATTTTACAAATGAAAATTATTACAAGAATAACAACATTACATTAATAATAGATATTTATAGTCTTTACTAAGATTATAAAAGCATGAATTGTAAAAATAGAATTTTATATTTTTCTATCTTAAATAAAGTGTAGCAAATTTTTATACAACCCAAAATTTAACTAATCTAAAGGATTATTCAATTTAAAAGAAAAGACACTAAGGTTTTTTCCATATTGTTGAAAACTAATAAACAAATTAAAATAATAAAATAGCTGAACAGGAAGTAGTAAATAAGTGTTGGACACTCATCTTGCTATGTTCACCTTGAGCCAAGATATATTCTAAATATTATACATATCAAAACAAAATGTATTATATGAAAAGACTCCATCTAAAGTTCAGTTAAACATGATGAATTTTTGAACCTAACTAAAGAATAATTTTGAAAACATTTCAAATATAGAATGGTAACTTAATACTTTTTAGATACTAAAAAGTACTAAACCATCACTCTAGTTAAAAATTTAAAAGAAAAGTATTATTCTGAATTATTATTTCATGGTAAGTTCTTTCAAGTCTTTTTGAGACAAAATTTGCTACACTAAGTTAAAAAATAGAAACAAGAAATGCTACTATTCTGACCCTTAAAAAAATACAATAACAATCAACAAACCTTTTACAGGAGGTCGTGTATCATATAAACCATAGGAATCTCGAAACTATAAAAAATAAATAAACTATTATTTTATGATTTATAAAATTATTCATTTATACTTATAGAACTTATTTTTATGTTAAACATAAAATAGTACAATGATTTTAATATAAACATTTTTCTTTTTTTATAACAATTTAATAGTTATATACTAAGAATATGTTTTATAATTTAAATGTAATAATTTAAAGTGAAGAAGAAAAATCAGAGTAGATTTAAAAAAATAAAACGTTAAATAAAAATACTTGAAGATAATTTCTATTTTTTAAACTAAAATGACTGAACTATTTTAAAATGTATAATTTCAATAATCATAATATTACTATACTATGATTTAAAAGTAATTTATTATTATATTACAATTGCTAAGTTGTTAATATTTTAATTACTAGTCTCAGAAGTATTATTAAAAGATTATACTGCTATTATAATTATTAGACAATTAGACATTAGTAGATAGAACATGCATTTTTGTTGTAAACCATAAAATCTTACATAATGAACTTACCAATGGATACTTGGGACTTTGTGGAGTTGTCTAATCAAATGTATAGCGTAAAAAAAAAATAAAGAAAACACATAATAACCACCACCATTATTAAATTACTAAAATATAATAAAAAAAAAATTTTTACATTTCCATCACTGCCAAAACTAGACATTTTTTGTGCAGATCGTTCTTTTGCTTTAATTGCACGTGCTCGTTCGGTCTTTAATCGTTCATCGTCATCTAATAAAGCTACTAGTTGAGTAGCTGTATCTCTTACTCTTTGTCCTTTATCCTTATTATCTTCTATATGTTGAAACGTTTCTAATGTTTTAATAGCAAAACGATTTTCCTTACATTGTTGGGCAACCTTAGAACAATAAAATCATCAATAAGATCATACTAAAAACATGGATCACTCATACTTTTTCACTGCCAGTCTTAATTAAATATTCTAGAAGGATAAGTGCTTTATGAACATGTCGCCAGTTTCGTCCATGATCATTAAGTCGTTTCCAAAGAATTGCCATAATTTCAGAAAAAGCAACTACATTATAAGTTAAGTCAGCAATTTCAGCCATTAGCGTACTGCTTGGACCCCACTGATCATTACTAGTAGCCTCGCGCACTTTTACCTAAAATGTAATATGTAAATGTAAATAATTTTTTATAAGCTTGTATTTAACTCAATTTATTTTCTTGTTAAATATAATACAATTATTTTAGTTATTATTTTTGAAGCGCGACTAATAAGATTTAACATACAATAATCTAGGTCAGAGTATTAATGATCATTTATTACTATGTATCTTGATACATATAAATATATTAAATTAATTTAACAATAAAAATACAAATTTATCAAAATATAACTATACTAACTTGAGCATCAGAATAATTATGTGCTATGTTTTTAATATTTCTTCTTAGCCCAGCGACATTAACTTGCATTTCTTCTCGCTTCTTCATCTAAAATTCAAAATATAAATTAAGCATCTAATAGGAATATAGAATATACTATATACAATTTAATTTCAAATTGAGTTTTCTTTAAAATTAATTTCAAACCAAAAAATTATGATAAATGTATACATAAATTATACACTTTAATAATATATATAAATAAAACAAGCATGTTGAGCAATACAATTATAAATTAATCCGGCTTATAACAGTAAATATCAAATAATTTAGATAGATACATGCCAATTATACATGGCTACGTTAAGTATCTTAAAATGGCGTCAAACTCTGTTTAATCATACTTAATTTATTGTAGTATGTTAACAATGTTTTAATTCATTGATTTCTTTGAAATTTATACTAATTATTAATAATATAAAAACATTGAAATACTTAATTTATTTTTATTAGTTATTAATCTCATTTAAAAGTTATCAAATATACAATTAATCATATTATATGTCAAATATATATGGCTCGTATTTATTTTTGCAGAAAAGTTTTTCATTTTATATTTAAATACAATAATTGTAACCTAACCTGCAATGTGAAAATTTATTGATTATTGAAACCTTAAATAAGTTAAAGAAATGTAAATTTATAACACAGTACTAATTAGTACATATGTTAACTAATTCGGTACTTAATATGTTCATTGTTTTGGAGTCAAGATAATTAATGCTATATAATGTATTTATATATTTATAACAACTGAAAATTTATTTCGTTTTTAATATTTTGTTCTTAAAATACAAAAGTTTAATTACTCAATCTAGAATACTAAAACATTAATTAACCTTAAAACACATTAACAAATACTTAGCTATAAAGTTTTATTTGCTTAAGTAAATAAAATAGATATTTTTTCATGAACTATTTTTAAGATATTACAAATATATTTCCAATGTTTAAGTATTTTAATTGAATTAATACAACTAGAAATAATAGTTTTCAAAACATAAAGTAAGCTTCTTTCAATTTGTAATACTGAGCAGGTAGCTAAATTATAGTATAAGAAAATTATTATTATATTAAGCTTAACTAAATATAATTTTTAAAAAGCTTATTCTTTTTTTAAATTACTAAAACTACATTTATAGAAAAATATATATAGGATAATTGAATACAAAATAGAAATTTTTCATAGAAGTATATCTTTAAATTTATGTACATGCCTACAATCACTTATTTTACAATTTAAATTAATATAACTATTCTTTATAATATTAATCTATGAAAAGATAACTATACAATGTTAACTGTTAATAAAAAACTTAAATACTTAAGTGATTTAAACTATTAAATTAGTAATAAGTATATTATGATATATTTTAATCATAATATTATGTAATATTTACTTTGATTAAAATTTAATAATTCAAAACATTGAAGGGAATACAAGAATATATTTTACACATGATTATTTTTTATAATCAAATGGTGATCACAGTTGACCTGACGGCCATAATCAAGGGAGGATTTAATAATTGACCCTTGAATTTGTTTTTTATTAATATAACTAAGGTATCAAAGATGAATACAAAATATTCAATAAAGTTAGAACAATTATAAAAAAAACTAAAAACTATTCTTTTTTTTTTTTTTTAAGTCTCCAGTTCTTCAAATTAGAGCATAGATAATTGATTGAATTTTATTTAGAATAATATTGTTGTATTATTATTATATTGTATTTTATACAAGAGGACAAATAAATAACAATTGTGAAATATCTATCAATTATGATTGGGGTGAACAATATTAAAATGGAAAATAATTAAAAAAAATACTAAATATTAGTCTTAAAATTAAGGTATTCATATGGTTCAATAGCATAGTTCTCTAAATATATCAACAATATATTAAACATATACACAAATACCATTCTACTGAATATATTATTGTAGTATACAAGATAAGCAAATAGAATACAAAATTTATCAAGGACGCATTAATTGTTAGAGGAATTTTTGAAAGAGAATACAAGTTTATCTTTAAAGTGCCTACTTATGAATAATAAGGTATGGTTATATGAGCAATCAATAGTTAACAACTAACACTTATACTTTATTCAACATTACTGACAAATACAATTGTACAGAGAATATAAAGATTAATGCATCAGGTAGACTATTATGACAATTTTTAATATATCTGCTATATCATTGTAATGCATTAGTCGTTTCAGATTAAATAGGATTATACTAATAAGTATTAGTATAATTATCAAAATTAGTATTTGTTTAAATTACAAGTAGAAACAATACGAGGTTAAAGCAAAATTGGTTATTGAAAGCATTATATTAGATAAGTAACAATTAAAGTGAACGCTGATTAGGTTAAATTCAACACTAAAGCCAGATAATAATATGAATACAAATGAATAAAACAAATATTATATAAAAAATAAGAAGTTTAATTTACATTTTGAAGGTAATCGACATTTTTATTAATTATGACTTATAATTTATAAATCTTATTTTTTATACCTCTGTCTCAATTGCACACACTATGCCGATAAATGTTGATCAAATCAAAATGCATTGAAGTGATAACATAGGACATCCTGTAGCCAACTACACTGCTGGTTGTGAGCAAAACACAGAAGTTTAAATTATTATTGGCAGTAAAGATAGTTTCCATTGTTGTCCAAACGACAAGACTATTAGTACTTATACAGATATTTAGGTTAAATAGGTTTAGTATGACTAATCACGTTTGTCAACATCAGCACAATAGAACTGGACTTGACATCAGTCTCGGAAAATCTTAAGCAAATTTTGATACTAAATTTCTGAGTAGGAGGATGACACAAATCACCGTCAGTTACTCACCTCGATGACAATTGTTGACACGTTCTCGAGATTGGATAGTGTTTTCCGGTCAGACGGTGATGGGCATAATAATAATATTACGGTATGTACACACGCAGCTGTGCGAGTGGAGTTACGGAAGAACGTCTCGCAAACGAAAAAATCGCTAAAAAACGCACTGAAGACGGTGATTGTAGCGCGAACCGTGTACGATGCGTCAATGCACAAAAGCGAATATTACGGATCGACGTTCGCCGCTCAGAAAATCGTGTATTGTGTACGCCGAGTCTATTATAGAATTATTGTGTCGTAAGTATGGCTAATACATATATATATATATATATGTGTGTGTATATACTATATATATATATATATATATATATATATATATTAATCGCGTATTTGTGTGTGTGGCTGTGTGAGCGAATTGCGCGATCACTGTCTACTGCAACACAACACACCTCTTCGCACGGTCCGCGGACGTTGTCCTCCTCTTTTTCGGTGTGCGATATTTTGTTATTATTATGAATGAAAGGCGGCGGGAAGAGAGTGCGCCACAGTGAGGAATCGCTGGGTTGCCACTTAGCGAGTAGCGAACCAGTAATCACCGAGTACTAATAGTAATAATAGCATACTACTACTACTACTACAGTACTACTACTACTACTACTACTACTACTACAACGGTATATGACACCGCTCGGAACACGTCTTGCCCACCATGGTTGTAATATGGCACCGTGGTGGTGGTGGGTTGAATGTTCAATCATTTCAATCCGTTCCACGGCAGTCTGGCACGGCCGACCAACGCAAAATTATCGCGCCCTCTCTTTCCGCCGGCCATCATTCTCTCTGTAACCGACCTCTTATCACTTATCTATTTTGCGTTATCAGCTAACTTTTGTAGGCCGGTTTGTATTTAAACCTGTTGTGTTGGGTAGCCTTAGCGTTTTTTTAAATTTTTTTCCAACGTTCCAACTTCTGAACTTTTAAGTACTACTGCAGTACTGTATTGTAAGTTCCCCGTCGGCGCCGGGTAATATTGTACATTTCATTTTGTATAAATATTTATTTAATTTTCTTAGTAGATTTGGCGATATCGTGTTTTCTATTGTTCAATATTTAATAAATTTGTATTTTAATTTATTGAATATTTACTAGTCACCAAAATAATATTATTCCTATTCATTTTTTTTTGTCACCAAATTTGTTAAGGTATGCTCATTGCCTTTAGATACATTTGTAGGTTTTTTTATATAATAATATGTCTTACAATCAAATTTGCCTGTTTGGTAACTAATAACCATTATGATTTCTAACTATATTTCTATATCTTTGCCCAGATAGTTATTAGAAAATTATTAATATTTTTCCATTACTTAATTCTAACTACAGTGAAATACATTACTAAATTTTTCTATGTGTGAACTATTTAATATTTAACCGTTTAAGAAAAAAATTGAGGAATATTAGACATCAATTTTATTTTTCATCTTTTTTCAAAATTATATATAAAAATATTATTCAATTTCTTTGACGATAATAGCTGTGCTTATCTGTAGTTTAAAAAATAAGAATATACTGTGACTAATGGTAAAGTTATTGTTATGCTCTTTATTAATGCTTACTCTTCTAGTCAAATAATGTACTTAAATTGATTAGTTTTTTTTAAGTTCAATTATGTAAATAACTATTTCAAGAAACTTAATTTGTATTTATAGACTGGATTATTGATACTTAAATTTTTCATTTAGAAAATTTACATCAGAAAAATAAACATGTTGGAATATCCTACATTTGAATGTTATTCTCGTAAATTGATGACATTAACATTAATATTTAAAAATGATGAAATCTTATTGGGTATGAAAAATCGTGGAATGGGGAAAGGTAAATGGAATGGTTTTGGTGGCAAAGTAGAACCAAATGAAACAATCGATGATGCTGCTAAACGGTAAATAACTTTATAAACAATAAAAATATATTTTTTAAATATTTCAGTAAAACAATTATTTAATTATAACAGAAATAATAAAAATATTAATATTTATTTTTAGTGAAGTAAAAGAAGAGTGTGGGTTGGATGTAATATCTATGAAAAAAATTGGTATTATAGATTTTGAATATGTTGGTTCAAAAGAAATATTGGAAGGACATATATATTTCTGTGATCTATTTGAAGGTGACATAGTTGAATCTGATGGTAAAAATAAAATATTTCTATTATTATTTTGAAAAATATTATTATTATTATTATTATTATCATTATTATTTTTTTTTTATCTACCTATTATTAAACAGATTAACAAATTAATTATTTTATTTTAGAAATGGCGCCAATAAAATGGTTCAAAATTAAAGACTCCCCGTGCGATAACATGTGGATTGATCATAAATTTTGGTTTCCTATGGTATTGAAACAAATTTCATTTAAAGCACATTTCAAGTATTTAAATGATGATACAATGCTAGATAGTACCATTGTATTATTAAATACTGTCAATAAAACTAAGGAAACTTGTGTTAATGTTGTTGTTAAAAAATATAACCAATTATTAATTTGTAAACATGCAGATGCATCAGAATACTTAAATAAGTATCAACAAGTTATGATAGGAGAGTCTATAGAAAATGCAGCTTTAAGGTTTGCTAAAATAATTAGTGAATATTGTTGATATTAAGTTTTTATTTTTTCAGATATTTAAAAAGTCATTATGAAGTAACCACAGAGGAATTACAAAAAATAGCTGTTGTTAATATTGAATTCATTGATAAGCCATGTATTCAAGAAATTCATTTTTTTGTTATAGACATTTCAAAATCAACAAATGCTACATTAACTAATGGTAAATTTTTCGATTAATTACTCAGGTATTTAAAAAGTGATAGTGTAGAGACAGTTGTTTAAGGGAAATTATGGTTAATAATATGTTATTAATAATATTATTGGTATACTTTTTAACTAGTATATATGAATATATTTATTATTATTTGAGGAGTTGTGGAAAATTAACATCTATTTCAGTTGATTAATGCATGTATAATAAATGTCAGAGTATTTTGAATTTTGCTCTGATACAAAATTGAAATATAAATGCTAATCTCTAATTGTTGACTATCTAACATTTATTTTTAAAGTTTTTACTTTATGAAATATTAAAATGTTTATGTTTTATTTAGATTGTCAATGGTTTGATATAAACAACATACAAGCTAAAAAATTATGGCCAGATGATAAGTTTTTGTCTACATTATTTATGATGAAACCATTTAATGCATATTTTCTAATTGACAATGATAATGTATTATGCAGCAAATATAACAACAATTAATAAAGTAAATTGTTCATTTATTAAGTGGGTGTTATCGTATGTTCAGACTGAACCATTGGTATATTCAGGAATGTTTCATGGTGGGGATTTGATCATGCAGTAGGTATTTAAAGATATTAATAAACAATAATCACTTATTAAAGTATCAAGTGTATGCCATATGGTCTAATCATTTAATGAAAAATATATTAAAATAAAATAATTTATCTACTCGATATACTATGTAACTTTTATTGTTTAGGTTTTGAAGGAAACTATAATATCTTGGTTTAATGAATGAGAAAACAATGTTATGTGTAAAAGCCTATTTTATAAAGATGAGTTTTTGATTAATAATGGAATATGTATATATGTCACTATGAAGTCAATTGATTTATTGCAAATTTATTTTAATATGTGTGGACTAAACATGAGAGGTGAAATAGATATTAAATAATTATCATTAATCATTATCATATTATGTTCGTGTTTTTAATAGTTTATTTTTTCAATTGTAGCAATTTTTCGATACAATACGCCAATCTATTGGACCAAATGATAAATTTATATATCCATCCTTCATAGAAGTCTACAAATTATCGATTTTTCGACATCTATGATACATTATCAGATTTAAAATAAACCTTTTGAAAATAAAGTAAAAGTTATTAGAATGAAATAATTGCTAGATTTCTTGGATTAAGAAAGTGATTGGAATTCTAACTTAGATATATCATCCCAAGATCATTAATATTGTAATAAAATTAAAACAGCATTTAAAGAATGTGGTTTATGTATTGTAATGTTTGCAAATAAGTTTAAAACACACAATACGTAATATTTGTCACTTTGTTTTGGAAGGTAACTTATTCTCGGTCTAATATATTCACTGGCATATTTTCAAATTTTTTGTTTTCAGAAAGAGGGGTTCAATAATTTTCTCAATTTTAACATTTTCTTTAGGTATTGATATAAAAAATAGTTATTAATAGATATATATCATATAAATAGAAAATTGCAATTAATAGATATTAAAAATTCCATAGTTGGTTTCAAATTTTTAAAATACAAAATTTAATTATTTATTTTTAATATTAAGTTCATCCAAAATTCCATGAGGCAAGAGAGACTTTTAATGTAAATAAATAATAATGCCAATACATTAAGACTATTTTATAAAGAGAGAAATTATAAATTTTGCCATAATAAATAAATATTTTACTAAATAAAATGTTAATATTTATTTCAGAAATGTATCACGTAAGTTTTTTTACATTAATTTTAATTTCGAGAATTTCTTTTTATTTGGCATAGTCAATATTGGGATTGTTGCTAGAATTTGTAATCATTTTAATATACCAGGTTATATATCTACATATTTGTATTGTATAATATATGCAATGCATCAATTGCGTTACCTATTTGGATTGTCATAGCAGTGATTCCTGATCCCTCCCCTCATTAATACGTATTATTTAATACATTACCGTATTTACAACTTGTCAATGTTTAGATACTAAAAGGATGCTTAATAACCTGAAGTAACATTTAATTTTAGAATTAAAAGGTTATCTTCTATATTCTAATAAACAAAATCAGATTAAATATTAATCATAGGAATTTAATTAAAAAGGGATTTATAGAATTTATTTAAGATTCCGAAGTTTTCAACAGAATTATCGATTATATTATTAATATTATTACAAATCATTATAATTTATTTATAACTCTTTGTAAGATAAATAATGACATCAATATTTTGATATTATATTACATTGAGAATGAAAAAAATTACTATAACGCGAAATTAAGAAGTAAAAGATAAAAATTTCCAAAGTTAGTGTCAAACTAAACTAAGAATTATACTAATATTATAGATATATTTATATTAAACTCGTGTTTTATATAATTTTAAATTATTTTACATAACAAACGATTCATTATTATCTATTTAAAGGTGGGTTGCATAGTGACTAATATATAATGTGTTTATGTTACTGTGAGTTGTCTCTAAAAATGTAAACAATCTTATTTCTTAATTCAATAAATTATACTTATCATGATTCATGATATATTATTTTGTTTTTGACTCTTTCATGGTTTAATTATTTATTTATAATTAAAGATACTATGTAGATAGTAATGATAGTAATATTCATAGAATAAAATAGATAAAAATTTAATCTTTTTTTGTCATGGTACTATCTTAAATTTTGTTATCAAAGAATCAACACATATTTTTTCGGACAACTTAAAAAGAAAAAAAGCAGTCACCGATATCAATATAGAACATATCAATCTTTAGTTGTTTTTTTTATATCTATATCAGACATCAGTATAGTTAATAGTTATCAGTTAAGACAACAAACATGAAACAGGGAACAAAGTACAAACTTTCAATACCTAAACTTTGACAATGATCACTCACATGACATAATTATTACGATTTATGATGATTTCTTTTTCAAATATAAATCGATATAGCAATCATTGGGTATGTTATTATGCTTAATAGTTTTTAAATTTAATTTTAAAATGTTGTGTTCTTTGTGTGGTAAGTGTTTAATGTTTATTAGGTATACATTCCATTTAATAACTTAATTAACCTCTGACTAAGGTATATAATATTATCTTTATAGCTTAATTTATAGTATTAATCATCACATTTTTATCCCACATTCCCACCTTATTTCACTCACATCTGGAAATGCAATTACCAGATGTCTAGATAGTACACTTCTGTGAAATCAATCCATTTCCAAACATCTTATTCTAATTATAAATAAGGTGTAATGATCTGTGTAATAAGATATTCATGATACATTTTGTGTAGTTATACCATGCAAATAATAACAATAAAAAAAAATAATTATTTTTTAAGGTTTTAACCTAAGTGCTCAACATTGAGATGATAAGCTTGATCAAATACTGTAGATTAGATTCTAAATTATGATCTACAGTATTTGATTTAATAAATGAAGTTTAAAAGATTATCAGTATAATTTGGCTGTTAACTGTCTACCAACTAAGATGTCTTTTTTGCCAGAGGTAACTTAAATTGTGATGTACATGTATTCAGTAATAATAACTGTATATTTTTAATTTTTTAGAAAGAGCCTTTAAAGTTTGATGTAAATCTTTGTGGAGCTCCTGAAGAGATAGTTCAATTAGTGGATAATATTAAAAAAGTATTGTTAAATTCTTATGACATAGAAATGTTTTTAATTTGAATAACACTCATAATAAATAATTTATTTTAGGTTGGAGAACAATTTTTATATCATTGGAAAACATTTCCAATAATTTTACCACCAACAGCTATTACAACAAAATTTCAAATAAATGGAAGTGATTCAACGTTTGGGCCAGGTGAATACTACTATTATAACTTACTATATAAATGGTAAATATTGATTTACTTTTGATTCAGGTACAGATTCAAATTGTACCTTGGCCAGGCGAACCATAACATCTATTCGTTCCATTAACTGTCGAGATTTATTTGTTCCACCATCTTTTGACGAATTAGATGCGGTGGCTGTAAATACCAAAGGTGAACCTAGGCATCTAAATGCCAAACAACTAGAATCTTTACGTGAACGTGGGTAAGTTCAAATAAAATGTGTAATATGTTAAACAATTATAATATGGATCTTCAAATTATGTTATAATTAAGTCTGGACAAGGATATACATGGAAAGCCAAAGAAGTTAAACTCAAAACAATTGGATACTATACGTAAACTAGGGTATGTCAAGGTTTTGACAAAACTTTAGGTTGTTGGTTATTGTTTGGTTTTTGGCTTGTGCATTAATTTTAGTTCTGCAGTTTATCTTTTGTATATAATTATTTAAAACTTTGAAATTATCAATTATTATTTTGTTTTTAAAGAGAATTTGAAGTGGCTAGTATTAATTTTGTTGGCCAAACACACAAATGGAGATTAACAGAATGGTTACAAAAAGGAACAGAAAGGAATCGAGAAACACTACTAGATGATTTAGCATTTGCTTTACAATTTTTGTTAGTGACTGCAAGAGCTAGGTTATTTTCACATTTTTTTAGCATAACGGAATCTATAAAAGCTATACTAACTGGCGTGATCAAATTAATTGGTAAGAATAAATTGATATTAAATACTTTATTTTTTTTTAACATCAATTTTATGTTCATAGATATAATATTTGGAGTACCTTCTTTAAAAGCACATAATTTACCTGAAAAAATAAGAGAAGAACGATGTCGTTATTTAGTTGCTGAATTAATTTGTCGAGTATGTTATTTCATATAGAACAATAAAATTAATAATAGACTTCTAATTTTAAATGTTATAGCCTGAATTAGAGCATGCTTTGGAACATTTAATAAGTTTTGTTCGAAAACAGTTGCGAAGAGCTGCTACAGAAAAATTTGAACCATCAAAAGAAGCAATGTGTCCTCAGATTCCTATTCCTTATCAGTTTTTGACTCCAAAAGTATGGTGTAATATTCAACATTTATTTTATTTTTTCAAATTTAAACTAAAACATTAATTTTACAGCGTGAAGAAATTGACTTGAGGCTTTTTGATAGAGATATAATGAAAAAAGCATTACCTGTGATAATGGGGTTGTTGGAACGTGAGACACGAGGTTGGTTTCTACATTTTAGAGAAAAACTTATTTATGAATTAAAAACACAAAAGTTATCAGATGAAGAGATTGAAAAAGTAAAACATTGATAAAAAGTTTTATTAGTATTGTATTAATTAATTTTATTTTATTTTAGTCAGTTAATGAAGCTGTAATGAAAGAGTATTTACAACGTGTTTATAAAAGTATAATTAATAATGTAGAACTGCAGATGTTAGGTGATGGAATTCCTAATCTTTTGATCAACCAAGCACAATGCATTGTTCTTATGCACCGGTAAAATTTTTTTAAATGTTTAGACTTTACGTTCATAAATATTAATTTAATATATTTTGATAGAGCTGTTGAAAATGTACAAAGGAAAATAATTAAACAAAAAAACACACTCTCTCAAAGAATGCAATATACTTATCCTGTATTGTCACGTATTGGTCCTTGGATGAGAGATAAACAAACCATTGCTGAGGTTGTAAAATTATTACTTAATATTTTTATTTATTATAAATTTATTTATTTATTTCAGGAAAAATTTATCCAAGAATGTCAATGGAGTGCTCATGAAGAAGCATTAACTCTTTGTAAAGAATATAAATTACATCAAGCTGTCTATTTTTTACAAAGAGATTTGGCTTTTATGAGAGAAGTAAACACAGTTTTAATAATTATACATTTTATTACTTTAGTATTCCATATATTTATAAAATAGGTTTTATATTACACAGTATGTTAAAGTTCTGTTAAATTCTTGTTTCTCTGTAATTGTTCATAATGAGATCATGTTTCATAACTATTAACTATGAACATTAAAAAATTTAACATCTAGACTGAATAGACTAATTCAGCGTTTCTCAAACTGTGGGTTGCGAATCAATTTTTGGGGGGTCTCTAGAAGTAGTATTATATTATTATTATTATAAAGTAATAAATAAGTAATAAAAAAATTTGTTTTTTTGAAATTACTTTTTTGATTCTGTAAATTTAAAACTATGGGGGTCGGGATCTAAAAAAATTGAGAACCACTGGACTAATTTATAGTCATACTTTTGTGTAATAATTTTAAATATAGAATAGCTATTAATTATAGATCTAGTTATTATTTAGTTATTTCAATTTAATCTAAATACTGCATGATTCATTATTTTTTCTATATTAATTTATAAAATTACTATACTATAATAAATTAATATTAATTTAAGTGGTCTAAAGGAGGTGTAACAACTTTTTTTTTAAATGAACTATTACGAATTATCAATTATTATTTATTAATAAAATATTTTTTATTTAGAGGGAACCAGTCTTGTCAAAAGAGCTCAAAGCTGTTAAAATTCCAACTAGAACTTTTCATTGGTTAACACAAATTTGGCTTCCAAAAAATTGGATTGTACGTAGATCATTCCAAGGTCAATCAGAAACAATACCAACTGTATTAAGTTCAACAGCAACAGCTATAACAACACCTAGGTCTAATCCCAGTCAAGTATGGATTACAAACATATTATTGACCATATGATTAGTATCATAATTTATGAAATGTTTAGGCTGTGTTTTTGGTAGAAAAAGAAATAACCCACACTACCACGACAAGATGGCCATTTTGGAGAGTTATTAACTTCCTATATCGCACTTGGACATGGACATGGAATGCTATGTTTTTCTTTGGTGTTAGTCATTTAAAAACTTAATATTTCATTTTTAATATTTTTCATTAATAACTCATTCTTATTTTATAAATAGGTGGTTATACCATGGTGTAGTCCTGTAAGTGTACGTTCTTTGTTTTGTTCAGAATCATTTTATCCAGATTTAGAATTATCTCAAGTGAACGGTACATTATTTCCTAGAAAATCCTCACTTACTTCAACACTCCTATCTAGGTTAAATTTACTCTGGCGGCACATATCAAAGAGTCGAACTCATTTTGAAACAAAACCTGATACAGGTAAATTATTTGAATATTAAATAATAATGAATTTAGCTTATTGAATTCAATTTCTCTCATTTTATTTATCTTCTTTCATTTTTCCGTATTGTATTTATAAATTATCACGATTTGTTTCTTAAATATAATTGAATTACTCTACTTTCTTTTTGGTTTAATTTAAATTTCTTTCCATTCTTTTCTAACTTCTTTATTTATCCATGATTAATTTTTTCTCATTTCAAAACTATTTTATGTAATATTTTTGTATTTTGTTTATATTTTTAAATTATTAAAATAAATACATAAAATTATCACTTTATTAAAAATAACATTGAAGTTATCAATAATATTTATCTTTACTTTTAGGGTTTATTGGTAAAGGAATGACTAGACACTTAAATCGAACTTGGAACTATGTAATTAAGGGTATATTGGGCACTTTGGCCATGTTAATTATTTTTCCAATTATTTGTCTCTCTGCAAGTTTTGGAAGTCTTATAGTGGCATTAACTGGTCCATTATGGTGATTATCTAATTATTTATTTTTAAATATAAAAGTTATAAAATAAAATTTTATTTGCAGGATGCCTTTGGTAACATTATTATTACACGTGTTCAATGGGTTAATTTATGATTTGGACTCTCCGGCTGAATGGAAAAATAGATATTTTGTTGTAATTGAAGCATTAGTTTGGAATATATTAATCCAAGGCATTTTACAACCATTGATAGCGTGTTTAATTGCTTTTATATTTTGTCCAATAGTTACTGTAATTTTATTTATTGGTAATTTTATTAATTAATAATATATTGCTTACATTGATTTGTTCAAAATATTTTTCATTTATTTCTATTTTTGTAGTTGGTCTGTTGAAATATTGGTTTCGCTTAGCATGGGATAGCATTATATACCATTTGGTGATAAAAAAACGTGGACGAATACCTGCATGTGATAGTTTCATTGTTAAACGTGTTGCTGGTCCAGGCATGGCATCAGATTATTACTTTCAAATTCGTCCTGAGCAAGCTTTAGCTGCATTTGAAGCTAAAATGGAGTTGGATGAACTTAATGCATATCAAAATCTTATGGAGCAAAAAATTCAACAACCACAAAAAGATTTTGCTCGCTTTGTTGATGTATGTTTTGGACCATTTAGTGCACATTTAGCCAAAAACGGAGCTTATCGAATTTTGGAAAAAGAAGCACAGGATTTGATGACAGCACTTCAAGATAAATTGGAAAGAAGATTACGAGAACTTCAATCTGGTTTGTCAACAACTCTAAAATCAAAAATTAGATTAACTTCAAAGGATCTTAAAGTAAAATTTGAACTATAATTTAATTGTATAAATATTTTCATGATGATTACAATTTTTAAATTATATTTAGATTACAGTTGCTTTAGCATCAAAAATGTTAGAATATTGGTACCCTCAACATGTAATGCAGAAGTTAAATATTAGTGAAGAAGAATTTTGGGAATCTAAAGGACTTTCAGTTAATGATTGGTCTGCTCTTGCTGTTGTATTTCTTACAGATATATTTAGTTTGGACTTTCTTACACCATTGGATGATGCAGATACTAAATTTAAATTAGAAGTAATAAATATTAAGTGTAAATATATTCAAATTCTTAATTGTATTTTCTTTTTAGACTGAACAGAGTGTAGATTTATCCCGTTTTTATAATGCTGTTCAAAGTATTAATATTGATGGGCAGTGCTCAGAAATGTTGGGTCCTTTATATTCGTCACGTGGAAATATTCAAATTCAATCACCATATTTGGAAATTTCAGCTTTTAATCCTCGATCAAAATTACTACATTGCAAATTCAAAAAATTAGATAGTGCTAGGTATTAATATATGCATATACATATATTCATTCACAATGTTTTTAATAAAATTAATTTATTATATATTGTTTTAGCAATAGTATTACGTACACAATGTTATTAGGCAGTCGTTTTAAAACTGGTACTCGCAGACACAAAGCATACTTGAGAACAAATTCTATGCCATCTCAACGTAATAAATCTCGGCCATGGAAACAAATACAACAGTCATATATGGCAGATAAAATGTGCATACCATTACCTGTCCCTCATCCAGCCCATATAGCATTAATAATATACAATCGGGATTCTGAATCTCCCATTCCTTTAGAATCTGAAAACTGTATTGGAATTTTGAGGTTTATACTAATAATATTAATAATATTAAAAACTGACAATCATATTTATTGTGTTTAAAATTTTTAGAGCCTTAGAAGATAGAACATCTGATCCTACTTCAACTGATTATATTCCTGCTAGTAGTTTTGATAGTAGTGCAGATTCTCGTAGTTCACTGACATCAGAAAGTGTAGAACCAGAAGAGCAAAATGTTAATGTATATAATTGGCAACGTGATGATTGGATGTTGCGAACGAGGCAGGCTGGAGCTGTACGAGTAGAATTAGCATCACCTGAAGATATAAGTCTTGATTCTGAGTCTACGAGAGTTGTATTTGGTACGTTAGGAACAACTGTATGACTGAGTTAGCTTATACATTAATAAATTATATCCATGACAAATAATGCAATAAAAATAAGTACTTATAATAATTTAAATAAACACCAAATAGTTAATTATATTAATGAAACAAAATTACAATATGTCCTTAGTATTATCTACTTATTTACATTTATATTAAATTATAAGAGAAAAATCACAATAATCTGATTTAATATTATGTATATAGATGTAAAATCAACAAATAATTTATCTAATTTACTATAAATCTCCTCGCATTTTTTTAATACCTAAAGTTAATTTAAGTATAATATCTACTTCTAAATAATTATCTAGTCATTGTAATCTGTGTTTCAATATTTAGTTTTCCTTTATATTAATATTTTTTCTCATTGACAAAACTCTTAAAACTAATAAAACAAAATATTAATACATTAATTTTTATCTTTTATTATTTGTTATACTTAAGTTTAATGTCTTCTGTTTTCTTTCTTCTTTGTGTTTGTGCCAAAGATGTGTTTTCTCAGCTTAGATAAATTTATGTTATACTATAATATAATATGTATGCTTTTGTAATTGACTTTAACTTATATATATTTTTATTTTTATTTTACATTGGTATAGTTTATTTTTATTTTTTTTATTGAAATATTTTATATACTATTCTAGAAATGTTAACTTTAACATAATATTTATGTTTTATAGATTATTATTCTTATTATATGTTTATGCTTAATTTTTTTATTTACATATTATTTATATATTATGAATATGTATTAAATATTATGTACAATATTTGTGATTTTTGTGATCCAAGTTATTTGGTTGTGGTTGATTATATTAAATCCGACAAATGTTTTATAACTTATAATATTATAAAATAATGATTCAAGGATAATAATATATTCAACAAACATTAAAAGTTTGAAAAATCGTTAATTATTTAATTTTTAACACAATTTTTTAATTTTGCTTGTTCATAACATTCTTTGTATAGATCATTTTTATGCACTTGTATATTTTTGTTCTTTACATAAAATACTATATAAATACAAATATAAAATAAACAAAATTTATTATTAAAAATGAACATTACTTTTGTTTATCATCTACACTAAATGCATGTAAATGTATTATGTTCATTTATTTATCTTGTTAATAGAAATTACATTTTATAGCCTTTAATTCTAATAAATATTTTTCTTATGATGTTTTTAGATACAAAATGATTAGCAATTTGTTGTGATTTTATTAATTGCTCAAAATCTAACTATTGCTTTGCTCGAATTTAAAAGCTTGAAAATTTAATTTAATATCACATCATTTATAAAGCAATTCATAAATATCAAAAGTTTATTAACATAATTTATTATATAATTGTATGAAGTTCAAAATTTTATAAAGTTGTTCAAAATTATTTTATTTATTTACTAATAATCGACAATTTCCAACTTAAAGAAATATATTACTTAGCTATGTCGTATTGACTATTGTTGCTGTTACTGAGTGCTAATTAGAGTAAATACGTTCTACTCATATGTTGCTGTATAATTCTGGAAAAATTATTTTACAATTCATCCAACTAGTAGCAAAATGTCGATGTTAGTTTGAAGACTTGGCTTCAGTGTATCACGTTCAGCGGAATTCAAAATTATAAACGATGGCATGATTGGTTTACTTATATTTTGTACTCGTCTTATGGGTTAGTTGTTGCCGTGTACTTATTGTTTGATGGTTACTATTGACATCTAGATATTATAGACACTAAGATACACCTATGACCTTCCTATTTTTCTATAGCAAATAATGACTCGACATCTCGGCATTATTGATTAAACAATAATTTTACTTTTACACCGTTGTACGGATAGGTAGGTACTGTACTACAGACTACAGTTTACCTAGGTATGCATTTACTATATTAGTTATGTTTCATAAGTCATTATATATTTTTAAATATTTAGAATTCGAAAATAGTCATTTATATGCAAGTTCCGGTAAATATGATTAGTAATTCAATTTCCAAATCTTTAGACCTTTTGGACAGATCGTCTTCATTAACTGTTGGAAATTGTTCTTTAAGTGAACCGAGCGAGTAAGATATTTTAATTTCGTTGACGTAGTATACAAATGATTAAAATCATTAAATATATTAGTTTATCCATCTAAACGTGATTACAGGGGTACCGAGTTAAATAAACGGACAAAATTCATCAATGCATTAGAAGTTGCACATCTAAAAGACTTAAAAATGTATTTTTTTTATTTCGACGACAAAGAACATCCATTAAACAAAGACGAATTTTTAGCAGCAATACGATCAGTAACTGGTAAGTATAGATAAGCTTTAGTAAAAATTTAGTTATTTTAATCTAGAAAATAGCCAGAAATAAGACTAAAGCTAACTCATAAAAATTGAGATCATTAAATGGTCTCCAACCATTTTTAACGATGGAAAAAATCTGAGATATAGGTACCTATTCCGAATTTTAATCAAAAAGAAAAATTACTCTTAAAAGAGAAAAAAAACAATTTTATTTTAAAATCATCATTTTACCTTTTTATTTTACTGTAATTTTACAAAGCGAGAAAAAATTTTTTTTCGCATATTTTCTTTTTATTTAATTCAACTGATTTCCTTACGGTAATACCTACTTTAGATAATATGTCATTAGCTAGGGTATTAGTCAAATCAGGAAATATCAGTCAACTTGTTGGAGCTCGTTTAAAAAGCTTGGCAGATCGTAAGTTTGAGATACCTGTTATAGAGTAGATATTGGAAAATACTAAAAAAAATAGAACAACGTCCTCCGAATGTTGCGATTTGAAAAATAGTGTTCATTATTTTTTTAAACCATTGGTCTATTATTATCTATGTAAGACATAGGTACCTACCAATTATAATCATATAATTATCGTAACTCGTATATAGTGTGACGGTACTTAAAAACAAAACTTAAATAATGTATATTTGAAATTTTGGTAGGCATTTATTTAATCGATTATTAGTTTATAAATTATGCATATTTTGATTACATATTGTCGGATATTAATCATAAATTTAGTTTTAACTTTTAAAAACAGGTAATAATTTATATGCAAAGGAGGCTGATGATTTTTTTGAACAAGTGTGCGTTGAAGATTTTAATACAAAAGAAGATGTAATACACTGGAAACAACTATTGAATGAAATTCGATATAGTACATATTATTTTCAAGATGTCTGGGACGTATTACCTTTTGACCAAAATAGTATTACGATGCATTTAATGTCACATTGTAAAGTAAGTATATTTATAACTCATTATGATGGGTAATTAATTAATTATATATTTATATCACAGAATAAAAGAATATAATAGCTAAATATATTTTGCGCTCATACGTATCAGTTATAAATGAAGGAACTTATTTGATTCTTTTTGATTCGGAGAATCTGAATAGAGATGATTGATATTACAATAATGTGTTTATTTTAGGTTTGTATACTACAATAAGTATTCGATGAAATGTTTTGATTTAACATTTTTGAGAGTGGTTTTGGATACCTAGTAAATTAAATTTAAATGGTACTTTAGAAAAATCAAAATTAAAAATTAGATTTTCACAATTTTCGGTAAAAACAAAGAAAAAAATTAAAGGAAAACGGCAATTTTTACATGAATCCATTTTTTGACAAAAGCTATATTATCATTTTAGTGTTACTTAAAAACGGAAAACCGTAGAAATTTAAAATTTTTTATCAAATTGTTATATAATTATTTTCTATATACATATATATTACAGTTTTAAAAATATTTTGAATCTTTTAAGTTATTTATAAGTATTAACAATTTTTTTTAGTATTTTTTTTTTATAATTCAAGATGAAAATTTATAGTAAAAGTATTTAAAATGTTAATCCATGGTTTATAATAATATGTTCATTTCCCTCTTAAAAAAATATCGAACATTCGTTGTCACAATATTTTTTTATAAGCGTTTAAAATGAGAAATTTGACAAAAGCTCGAAAATTACAAATAATTTTGATGATAGAAATTTATAAAAAACTTTTTGTTCGTGGGTACCTAAGATTTGAAAATTGAATACAAGATTCTTTATAAGTTTAAAACCTATATTAAAAAAAAAATTTACCGGAAAGTCAAATAATTTTTTACTTTTAATTTCACCCGCTTAATAACTATATTGTTTATTCTCCTTAAACTATTTTTGTTTTTTGTTGTAATTTATAAGTAAACCAGTATAGATAATTGAAATTTTCACCAAATGTTTAAATTATCATTTCATATATATGGTATAATTTTCAAAATATATAAATTCTTTTTGAGCTATTTATGGGTTTGAGAAATTTCTGATTTTTATTTAAATTTTTTTATAGATATTGATAAAAAAAAAAGATTTACTTGGTAAAATTTCTTTAAAATTTTATATAAAATTTATTATCAGTTTTTCTTATATTTGTTTAAAATTATTGAAAATACAAAGGCACACTTTTATTTTATATGTATTTGAAGTTAAAACATTTACGAAATTTATTAAAATCACCAAAATTAAAAACTTGATGTAACTGTAATAATATTTTGATGTTTAATATTTATAAGGTTCTCAACTTTTAATGGTTTAAAGCTGAAGTTTTAAAACTTAATATGACGTTTATCATCAGTATTTCATATTGGAACTAAATAATCTTAAAAATATCTATCACAGTTATTGTTGATAGATATTTTTAATTCAAATTTTGTATTTTAATGATGTATATAATAATTCATTATTTTGTTAAAATTCAAAAAAAATATATTCTTGGGGACTTAAAACTCGTAGGTATGTATATCATGTTTTTTACTAAATACACTGACATTTTCAAAATACGTTGATTAATTTTAAAATATTATCTAAATAAAATATGAACACATTCACACTGTCTTATAATATTTATAGTAAAGTGTTATTAACTTAAAAACTAATACCTAATATGATATAAATATATATTATTATAATACGTAATTATATATTTATAATAGAAAAAATGCAATGTTTTCGGAAAAAAAAATATAAAACTATTGTACTATAATAGTAGAATAAATTACTTAAATCAATGTATCAA